AGTTCTATATGAGGTAAGAAATCTCATGATTAGCTAATTAATCGGCCTCTTCTTGATACGTGCGGCAATTTTCGCCGCGATTCTCGCCCGATTGCGGATATTTCGGCTTTTCGTTATTCGGCTCGGTAAGCTTCCCTCGATCTTGTTTAATCTCTATTTTGCTCGGTCTCGACCTTGGCCGATCTCGAACTTGACCGGTCTTTGGGTCACGAGCTCAACGATCTAACTTTGCACCTAGTTCGATATAACACGAGGTCGAGCCTTGACCTATCATGTTCTAGTCTCGATTGGTCACACAAAAAGGCAAGCCCGATTTTGACAGTATAAAATGAATATATTCCGGTAACATATGAAAAAAAATAAAGAGAAATCATAAATTCATAGTCACTGTGTTTGTTCCTAGTATATATATAGTTGTCTATTGTCTTTAACACATTGATTCTCTTTCAACCTCCTTACAGCGTTTCAACAGAGTGTTGTAGAGAGAGAAAGCGAGCCGGCCTTCGTCTTTGGTTGGCTTTGCTTCTTGGATCCATCTTCCTCTCTTTTTTCCTCTTATCGTTTTCAGGTAAGCTATCCTCTGCTTTATCAGATCTTGTTTTTTTTTTTTTTAGCTTAATAGCTAAAAAATCAAAGCATTTCAGTTTTTGCATTGAGATCTATTAGCTGTGCTAAAAGAGCTATGATTTCTGATGTTCAATTGATGCTTTGTTTATTTTTTTTGCTATTTGTCTTTCTGATGTATTTACTGCTCTAATTGGTCAGATGAGGTTAGATTTAGGGGTGATATTTTGTGATATTCGGTTGAATTTATGAAGATCTGTTATTGTTATGATTTCTTCCCTTGTGAATCCGTCATGAAAGTGATTTTTGCTCAGGATTTTCCTAGATCTACCATTTTTTATTATTTCAAATGATTGATTCTTTTTTTAATAACCTCTCTTGTTGTTGCATAATCGAACTGTTTCCATAATTGCTCTTTTGAATCTCTGTACGAGAAAAACAAGGTTACCCTTTATAATGATGTCTGCAGTATTAAATCATTTGTGTTTGCCTAACTGAGAACTAACTTGACCGGGATTTAGTTTATTTCACTTGTCTAACTTACAAGTAAAACGTCCACCTCAATCTGTATCGGGATGTTTTTTTATGTGTTGACACCTAAATTTGTATATATTCTGCTAAACAGAATTGTAATTATTTCAAAAAATTATTACATTTGTGCTCAGTGTCTACAAAGGAATTAAAAAAATGCAAACTTTCCACGGCGTGAATACACTAAGTTATCAAGGGATTCAACATTTTATATATGCACAGAAATTTTTTTTTAGCCTATTTGCACACTGTAACTCTCCGACAAAGAGAATTCAATTGAACCCCCTTATACACTAAGCTATGCCACCTACTCATACTAGGGTGCTCATTTTATTTTCTTTTATTTTCAGGTGAATTAAGATGGCCGACGGCGAGGATATTCAGCCCCTTGTTTGTGACAATGGAACTGGAATGGTTAAGGTTAGTTTGTGTTT